TTTGTCGTTGAACATTTGACGACGTTTTTTATTCACATTTGTTCGGTCAATAACACCATCGATGTTAGTTCCGCTACCAAAAATGTTGGTGTCATCTGCGATACAAACATAATCAAAGTAGTTTGATGCATTTGGCAAATCGTTGATAAACAAGATGAAAAGTAGTGGTCCCAAGATACTTCCTTGTGGGACTCCAACACCATTATGTTGTAATGTTGAATTTTTATTTCCCCAGCTGACAAACTGCTTTCTTTCAGACAAATAACTTTCAAACCATTTCAAAGTCGTTCCTCTTATGCCATAGTGTTCAAGTTTACCCAACAGGATGGAATGATCAATACAATCGAAAGCTTTCGACAGATCTAGACATGTTCCTACGATGAATTGTTTTTTCTCCGCAAGCTTTCCAATTTTCCTTACGAGTTCTATTATTGCCAGTTCTGTTGAATGTTTCTCTCGAAACCCGAACTGGTAACATGATAGAATATTATTTTTTTCTAGAAACAATATTATTCGTTTATGCATAATTTTTTCAATTATTTTCGAAAATGCAGGAACTAATGAGATGGGTCGAAAATTAGAAACATCATTATTTCCGGTTACTTTCTGTAACGGTATGATTTTAGATGTTTTGAAGCATCTAGGAAAAATACCTGTTGTGAGTGAGCGATTGATGATGAGCTCGAGAACCCAGGCTGTGGAGTGGATTGTTGATATGACTATTTTTGTTGGAATGTTATCCCAGCCGCTAGATGATTTTGGAGCCAGCAGTTTTGTTGCGAAAATAATTTCTTCTGCAGATGCGTGGAGGCAAAAAAACGAGTTTGGTATTTTGTTGCCAAGAAACTTTTTCCATTTGATTTTTGCTGTTGTTTATATTTTGCTCGATTTAGTTGGTGTAGTATCTACGTTTTAATTTGTTTTTTAAGTTGGTACACAGTTTACTACAAGTCTTGAATTTTAAAAGTCGATCTTCTGACGGATTTTTCAGATATATTTTAAATAAACATTTTTTCTTTTTTAATAATTTTTTAAATTCTGCAGTGAACCACAGCTTTTGTTTGGAGAGTGTGTTTTTCTTTCTATTTGATTTTATCAGACACGCATCATAGAAATAGGATTGAAATCTGTTGATGAACAATTCAAACCCCATATCAACATTGATGCAATCAAAAACTTTACTCCAGTCAGAAAATTGCAAACGCAGACGATGTGTTTTTCATTTGTGAAAAGAGAATTTCATTTGTGTTGAATCTTTCACATCAATGCTTCTATTTCCATCATCAATTGAAGCAAAAATCGGAAAGTGATCTGATAGATCGCACATCACAACGCCATTCAGTCTTGAAGGTTTTAAACAGTTCACAAAAATGTTGTCTATCACTGATTGTTTTCTAATGCTGGTTTTTGTTGAAATTGTAATAATCGGTGATAAATTGTAGCATGAAGTGAGATGTAAAAAATTAGTTGTGCTGTTGTCTTCTTCTACGGAAAATAAGTTGAAGTTGAAATTCCCCATTAAACAGATAAATTTATTTTCATTGCTCGCAGCGTGTAACAACTGTTCTAATTGATTGATATAAAATTTTGGATCTTGAGACGGAGGTCGGTAAGTTACGATCATTATCGAATTTTTTTTTGAATCCTTATTAACTAGCTCGATTGAAAATGTTTCAAAGTCTTTGCAACCAATAAGATTCAAATCATTTCGAATTTTATATAAACAACTATTTTCCAAATAAAAACCGACACCACCACCATGCTTACCACATCGATTTTTTCCAACAAAATGATAACCCTCCATTTCAACATCATGGTCATTATTCAGCCAGGTCTCTGTTATTGCTACGACATTAAATTTGAAGGAAAAATTCATTAAGAAATCATAAAGTTCGTTAGTTTTGTTTATTAGACTTCTTATATTCAAGTGCATAACGTTTGGCATTGAATTACTCTCGTCAGAAATGAAAGATTGATATTTAGCATTGACTGACTTTGGATCGTCAAACATTATTGAATTTTGTAACAATTGTTCTTCATTATTTAAAAATTGGTTATTTAAAATTTTACTTTCTATTCAGAGTATTAGCATCAGGTTTCGTCTGATTGAAGCGCCATTCGCGCACAATAATGTTTTTCAACATAATGTCAGGATCCTTCATCTTACCGACATCTGAGCTATCGATGCAGACTCTGAACATTGTTGATTCCTGGTCATCTTTGTCAAAATTTTTATCCGACGATATTTCTGTTTTTTTCAAAACAGGATAACATGTGATGACATTGATTCCATTTGACGTCAAAAATTCAACAACATCTCTTCGATGGCATTTACTAATGTTGCTCATTGAGAACACAGATTTTTTAATTAAATTTTGTCTGCCCTCAATTTACAATCTTCAACAACTTTTTTGCCAATAACTTTTGTTGGTTTTTTAGCTGTCTTGAAGCCTGCCGTGTTTTCGTTGTTGTTGATTGAAGTGGTTCCCCCGTTGCTGTTGACCTCCAATAAGACGTTCAAACGTGGACGTTTGTTGTGCCGCTTCACCAACGTGAACGCTTCGTCCAGAGTGGGTGATGACACGACGTCCGCCCACAAAATTCCTGGCGCATTTTGATTAACTGGTGGCAACGTGTTATTTACATTGTTAGAGATTACTGAGTCAACGTTTACTTTTTTGCCAACATTGTTTGCAACAAGAGAATTAAGTTTATTTTTAACATTATCCAACTCGGTAGAATAAGACAAAAACATTTTATTTATCTCAGCTTGTTGAGCGAACAACATTTCTTTTATTTGTTTGTTAACGAAGTCGAAATTTATTTTCAGCCAGTTTTCCGTGTTTGGTATTTTATTTATATCAGAACTGCAAAATACATACATACATACATACATACGAAACGAAACGAAATTTTATTTGATTCCCAAAATTAAAAAGAATTAATTATAAGAATGCAGGCTGACTGTAATCGAGCCCACTAATTGAGCTCATCTAGCACAGCCACCTTTACATAAATGTCTAAATTTTGTCAAGATTTTAACAATGATGTTCATAAATTAAAAATAAATGTTCAAATTAAGTATAGTCCAAACATAAATATTAGTTCATTATAATATAGTTCAGTTACATTAAATAACTGAAAATCTAAAATAAAATAAAATAATTCAAAATGTAATTTCTATGTAATTAGTTTGGCTATCAAGCTGTTCAAAAATAGCTGGTTTAATCTTTTCGAAATCCATATCAACATTACAATAAAAATGTCTGTTGCAAAGAGTTGTTCTAATAAGAGTATTGGTTACGAAATATGAATGAAAATCATCCTGATAATCATTATCAAAAATAAATTTGACAGAGTCCACCAATTCTGAAATATGTTTCGCTTTTTCACAATTCTTTGAAAATTCCGGCAGAATTAATTCAATTGACTCTATCTTCTCGGCCTCCGTTAACAACAATTTTTTACTTGCAACCACATCCTCAACTTTGAAATATTTATATAAAGAAATTTTCAACTGATTATCTTTCAAACTGTCACCGCAATTCCACAAAAAACACAATAATTCGTCCATAATCATACTTTCAGCCATTTTCAATCTATATATAGATATACATATATATATATATATACATACATACATACATACATACATACATACATACATACATGCATACATACATACATACATACATACATACATACATACATACATACATACATACATACATACATACATACATACATACATACATACATACAAACATACATACATGATAGATGGCGCCTGACAATAATGAAGTTAAACCTGGTCGGCTTGATGATGTTGATCCTGATAGTTATTTGTTGTATGATTTAAATAATGTGTGTTCTTTTTTACCTCCGGATAAGGTTTATGCATTTATTAATCCGAATTCTTTTTCTGTTTTTCACATTAACATTCGAAGTATGTTTAACAAAATGACTGAGTTGAATGTTTTGCTTGATTATTGTGGTGGTAATTTTGATTTGGTAGCTGTGAGTGAAACTTGGTTATGTGATCAGACCGCTAATTTAATTAATTTGCCTAATTTTAATTTTGTATCTAAAAATCGTTTAGGTGGTGTTGGTTTATTTATTAAAAGTCATTTAAATTATGCTGTTCGGGATGATTTATTATCTTATTCTCCTACTTTAGAGTTATTAATAGTTGAAGTGTTTTCAAATATTAGCTGTAATTATTTGTTTATTGTTATGTATCGTCCTCTTTCTACTGATGTTAATTTATTTTTAAATGATTTAAAATCTTTACTCATAAATATTAATCCTGGTTTATTTAATTATATTTACATTATCGGTGACTTCAACATTAACTCATTTTGTGATGATTATAAACATATATCCAGTGGATTTTTTTTAATGTAAAAAAAACAATGCATAGGGACTTATATAGTGTGGTTTTATATTTGTATCATCCTGTAAAAATTTCAATTAAAAAGGATAAGTATTAGTGACCTTTCAAATCACATTTTGTTTTTTTATGAAGCCTGAATGATTTTTTTTGGTGTTTGGAGTTTTTAAAATATTTTTACATGTTTTTATAAAACATTATAGAAGTTTATTGTTTGGAGAAGACAAAGAATTTGTCAAACAGGAAGAGAAAAGGTTAAAAAGGAAACTAAGCAAGAATCAAAAACAAGAAAAACCTTATAAAAAGAGAAACATAGCCAATTATGAAGATGATGATGATAATTCAACATCAACAGATGACATATGCGATAAGTCTGATGAGGAAGTAGGGTGTCTGCAAATACCATCAGAATAAAATTGCAGGAAGTACTCCGATATCTCCTAAAACTAATGTACTTGAAAAAAGGTGTCAAGTAGATGACCCACTGTTCATGGCAAGTCTAGATCGTACAAAAACAACTTAAAGGGAAGCCATGCACATAGTTGCTTTAGCATTAAAGGCAGTTGGAATCAACGTTGATGAACTCACTTTGTCAACAAGCTCTCTTTACGGATCTAGAAAAGCTATACGACAATTTATCGGAAAAACTATCAAAAACACATTTTTGCCAAACACACCTCTTGTGGCTCACTTTGATGGAAAACTTTTACCTGATTTTAATGGTGTAAACATAGATCGCCTGCCAATTGTGGTATCAGGGAAAAATGTAGAAAAACTGATAGCTATACCAAAGGTTGGCGGTACTGGCATAAACATAGGAACAACAATAGTTCAGTTACTTCAGAATTGGGAAGGCGTGTCAAATTGTTTGTTTTGACACAACAAATTCTAATACTGGCATTTATACTGATGCTATAACAATAATTCAGAAATCCTTTAATAAACATCTCTTGTTTTTAGCATGCAGGCATCATATTCTTAAAATTATTGGAACAGCTTTATTTGATTTATTTTTCACTTCATCTGGCCCTCAAATTGCTATTTTTAGTAGATTTAAAGATCAATGGCCATCAATTAATCAGTTAAAATATGCATCGATTGACAAGGTAAAAACTGGTTGTTCTTTGAATAATGATGAAAATTTGTGGCTAAAGCAAAATCGTGTAGCTATGATTAATTTTCTTCAAGACCAACTGCAAAATACTCAACCTCGACATGGCTACTTGCAATTGATTAGGCTTTCTCTCATAACTCTTGGAGTTTCAGATCCTACTGCTGTACAAGACACTCCTCCAGGAGCTTATCATAGGGCTCACTGGATGGCCAAAAGAATTTATTGTTTGAAGATTTTTTGTTTTCGTGAGCAACTGAAGTTAACTGTACATGAGCTACAAGCATTAAAGAGACTTTGTCTCTTTACTGTAACTGTATATGCAAAGGCATGGTTTTGTGCAGCAAACAGCTGTAGTGCTCCTTACAATGATTTATGTCTTCTTCAAACTCAGGAATTATATGAAAAAGTTGATTGCAAAGTTGGAAAAGAAGCAATGAAAAAAATTAAAAGGAATCTTTGGTATCTAAGCAAAGATCTTGTTGGAATGACATTTGTTTCTGATTTGGTTAATTTCGATGAGAAAAGGCTTATGGTTAAAGCATTACATAAACCAGCAAAAAAATGATATTAGAAAAGTAGATCCAAAACACATAAGTTCTTTCAAATTCAAGATTTTGTCAGATTTTATGACAAAACAGTCTTTAAATTTATTTTCTACATTGAAACTCGGTCAAAATTTTCTTTGCTTTGATCCAGAAGTATGGCCACAACTAGAGGATTACAATAATGCAAAAGAAATAGTGACTGCAGTACGGGTAGTTAATGATTGTGTTGAGCGAGCAGTTAAATTGACATCTGATTTTAATACAGCACTTACTCATGATGAAAATCAGCGCCAGTTGATGTATCAGGTGATTGAGCATCACAGGAAATTAATGAATGAACCTTAGAAAAAGAACCCATACTTATTCAGACATTACTTTATAATAAAACAATATATAAATATTCATAATAAATTAAAAACAATTATTTTTTATTAATTTTTAAAAAATGCTTTAAAAAACTGAATTTTCTGAACAATCTCATCAATGAGAGGTCACTTAACATTGTTTGATTTTATTGATTTTTGGTGTTTGTCTTTATATCATCAAATGACACAAAATAAACCCATATGCAAATCTGGTTTGAAAAAAATTTTTTTTTCTTAATAAAAATAAAACGGTCTAATACCCACTCTATTCATCAATTCTTTAAGCTTATTTGGTTTTAATTCTTTGATTACGACTGCAACACGTGTTACTACTACTAATTCGTCTTTGTTAGACAAATTTTCACTAACAACATTTCTTTTCATAAATCTGGTGTTATTTTTTCTTCAATGTCAGACCACTTCGTTTATTTACTTCTTTTCATTCTCCTGTTATTAATATACCCAATTTATGTATTCCTTCCTTTAATTATAAATTTTATAACATTGATAAACTAAATTTATATCTTAAGTATTATGATTGGAGTTTAGTCTTGAATTGTTCTCAGACCGATGAAGCTTTTGAATTATTTATTGACATCATAAAAAATGCTGTCATTAAATGCTGTAGTATCTCTCGGAAAAAAACTCGTAAAAAAAGCCTTGGATCACAAAGGGTTTAATTACTTCATCGGTAACAAAAAATAAATTATATAAAATTTACCTAAGTTCAGGCTCGCCGTCGGATAGATTGGTATACACTAAATATAAAAATATTTTTCTAGAGTTATGTAAATTATCCGAATTTTCTTATTTTAACAACCAATTCACTAAATGCAAATCAAACAGTAGACTAACCTGGAACCTTCTTAAATCATGTTTAAGGTTAAAGCATTCATCACCTCTTAATATTATTGTCAATGATCAAATTATTAAAGATGATTTCTTATTATGTAATCATTTTAATAATCATTTTTCGTCTTTAAACAATCAAAATGTTTCAAATTCATCTGATCCTAAATGTAACTTTAAAAAATTTTTTTCTTCTAGTATCTCAAATTTTTTCGTTTTGTTTGAATGTCTGCCATTTGAAATTATTGATGTTGTAAAAAAATTTTGATAAAACATATAGTTGTGGTAATGATTTTATTTCAAACTTTTTATTAAAAAATTTTTTTCAAAGTGTCTTATTTCCGTTGCTTCATTTAGTTAATTTATCTTTTAAAACTGATCACTTCCCTAATTGTCTGAAAATTTCTAGTGTTGCCTTTATTTAAATCTGGTGACCGTCATTCTACTAATAATTATCGCCCTATCTCTGTTCTTTCTAGTTTGTCAAAATTAAATGAAAAAATTATTTCAAATCGTCTTAATGAATTTTTAAATTATCATATTATTTGTTTAAATCAATATGGTTTTTGTGAAAAGTTGTCAACTGAGTTTGCTGTTTCAGACGTTATTAATTTTGTTTCTCATGCACTTGAATCTAAAAAATACTCTATTGGGGTTTTTATAGATCTTTGCAAGGCTTTTGACTCTTTAGATCACAGTATTTTATTGTACAAGTTATATTCATTTGGTATTCGTGGTTTAGCTTATAATTGGTTTTCTTCATATTTAAATGATCGCTCTCAATTTGTTTCTATTGGTAGTTCCATGTCTTCGTTGTCTCCTATTAAATCGGGTGTTTCTCAAGGTTCTATTTTGGGCCCTTTACTTTTAAATATTTATATTAATGTTTATTCTTCCAACATTTTAAAATTTATTTTATTTGCTGATGACACTACTCTTCTCTATTCTCACTCGGATTTTAATGTACTTGTTTCGGTAATTAATTACGAACTATATTTTGTTTACGATTGGGTTGTTTCAAATAATCGACGTATCAATTTAAGTAAAACATGTTTTATATTATTTGGTCCTAAAATTAGAACAGATATTGTTTATCCAGTTATATATTTAAATAATATTACTATTGAAAGGGTTGAGTCATTTAAATTTTTGGGAGTTATTTTGTCCTCTAACTTATCTTGGTTGAATCATATCAAACATATCTCCTGTAAACTCTTTAAAAACTTGGGTCTTATTTATCGATTGAGGTTTAAATTTCCTAGATTTATTTCAACAACTTTATATAACTCTCTTATTCTTCCTTATTTAACTTATTGTGTTTCTGTTTGGGGTGGTACTTCTAAATCAAACCTTCATATTTTAACTCTAGCTCAAAATTTTTTACTTTGCATTCTGTTTAAATGAAAGAGATTTGATTATGTAAGTTCATACTATAAAACAGCAAATATCCTTACCATAAACCAACTACATATTATTTATCTGTTACTATCTTTTTTAAAAATATATAAATTAAATTATTGTCAATCTCTTAAAGATCAGATAAATTTATTTAAAAATAGTAGACAAAATTATTTACGTTCTAATTCTGAATTTTACTTTTTGAAACCTAGAACAAATTTTTTTCCTCAACTCTGTCTTATATATCTCTATGCGTCTTCGGAATTCATTACCAATGACTACTAAAAATTCTTCTTCCCTTGCTCTATTTAGAAAATCTATATATTTGCTCATTCAGTCTAATTATTTCAACCATGTCCTCTGTTAATGCGATTGTTTCCCGTTTTATACTTTATATTTATTCAATTTTAAGATGGTTTATTAATAATTAAATAATTTAATTATTCTTCTTTTTTCTTATTTATAGAACTATCATTATTTTATTGTGAAATGTGAACATTTCTTTTCTATTTATAATTTTTGGTGTAAATTTTATGGTGACCCAACAAGTCATATCTTCGGGTCTACTAGCTTTTTGCTGAATAAACTCATTATTGAATTGAATATATACATACATACATCCATAAAATCGATTAATTCGCCGTTGAAGAGTGTTAATTTAAATTTAAACATGGCATATAGTAAAGGCTATAAAAATGAAACATTGTTCGGTACATGGATCAACTGCACTCTGAAATCTTCAAAAATTATCGAAAAAAAACCACTTATTATGTTGGAAATGTTGGTCCATGTAAAAAGAATATCATTGAAAATCACTTAAAAGCGAACAATATAGTCTTCAACAAGTGCTTTCTTGTTTTTCGGAAAAAAACTTCTGAGGAGTCATCTGTTACAGACAATTTATCAAGAGATTCAACTGCGTTTAAAATTATTCTTTCGCTATCAGAACTGCCAAAGTTAATTAATCCAGACATCTGGCTGCGTTACACTTTTCTTCGCGAATGGGACTTCTCGTATAAAAAAATTAGATGACAACGATACAAAAGAAAAATCGCTCTCCAACAATGGCGTCGATAAATAATTATGACAACAACAACAGTCTTTTCAAGCAAAGCTCCAGTGATGATGTAACTTGTAATGAAAATGATATATTTAACGATCGATTACATAATCCTGATGTCAATTTTTTTTAATTTGTTAAACACTCAGTCGCTATTTTTTTTGCCTGAAAAATAACCACTTATATTAACGATGTTAATTCATTTTTTATGTTACACATTAATGCAAGAAGTTTAATAAACAAAATGACTGAACTAAACAACCTGCTATATTTAAGTAACAATATTTTCTCAATAATTTGTGTAACTGAGACATGGTTAACGGACTATAATCATCAATTAATTAATTTACCTAACTTTAATCTTATATGCAAAAATCGTAGTAATAGGGCTGGTGGAGGCGTTGGCATTTTTATGCTCAGGTCTCTAAAATATACCATTCATGATGATATTAACATAAACTCTTCGTGCTTTGAATCGTTGGTTATTGAAATTTCTTTAGCTAATGATTTAAACAGGGGCGTCATTTCAGATTTTGGTTGGGGGGCGAACTTATGTGGTCTATGACCTAGCATGTAACATATATATTAGGGATGCACCGGATTCAGGTTTTTCAAATCCGGCCGCGGCCGGACTTGGCCGGATTTAAAATTCAAAAACCGGCCGGGGCCGGATTTTAGTTACCATTTTACATAAGTTAGAAAAAATACTCACATTTACGGTTATCTACATGTTGAACATGTTATTTAATTCAAATATATGAATAAGTTGTGTGATACGCCAAATTCTGTACACAAAGATCAGCTTATAATTTATGCATATTTGCATAACCCAAGTTAAAGCACAAAGAAAATTGTCCAGCTCACCGCACAATTAGTGATGTTGTAATTATGTGTCATGTATACCTAGCCTAACCTTTCTTAAATTATGTGCTTATGTATCTCTCTCTCTCTCTCTCTCTCTCTATATATATATATATATATATATATATATATATATATTATGTAGCTATATGATCCGTCATATGCAATTATCAATATATAGTATATACACGTGCACAAGTTCTTTTACACAAAGATCAGCTTATAATTTATGCATAACCCATGTTATAGCATAAAGAAAATTGTCCAGATTACCTCACAATTGGTGATGTTGTTATTATGTGTCATGTATGCCTTTAGCTTAGCCTTTAACTTATTGACATAAAATTAATTGAATTCAATAAAATTTTTTTTTCTATTTATAACATTTTTAAAAGTTGATAGACGCTTAAATCCGGCCCTAAATCCGGCCACCAAATCCGGCCAGGGCCGGATTCGAACGGATTTGAAAAAAAAGCCGGATTTTGGCCGGGGCCGAACTTCGGTGCATCTCGGTGCATCCCTAATATATATATATAAATATATATATATATATATATTATTAAAGATCACGGCGTTTCTTACAGTACTCAATCTATATGATAGTTTCTCATTCTTCGAATAATTCTCCGATCTACCAAGCTTAACTTGTTAATGCTATTAAAAAAATTCCTATTTACAGATGTCATTATCTACATGTATGCATATAGTACTATTTCGACTACCTAGTCTCGTCAGTGCAACATTATAATAAATTTTACATTTTTAAAGTTTTAAAATTTTTAAAGTTTTAAAATTACTAAATTATATATCCTATATATATCCTTTTTACAAAGAATTTAAAATTAAAATTATAAATTATAAAAGTGTTAATTTAATCTTTAAATGATTTACGTAAACATTCTGTGGTTTGATGCCTCCGTCCAACTGATGACAAAACATGAAATGCATCATAAATTGAACTGACGGTTGAATTACGTAAATTTTTTTCTTCCTGAGGTGCTACACCTATCATATCACATAATTTGTCAGTCTGTTTAGCTATTTCTTCCAAATACTCATCAGAACGAAATTTTGTAAATGTGGCTTTGCAAGCCTGTATTAAACCACTAGCTGCCACGTAGTCAATGTTGCTTTTTTGTAGTTCTTGTGAAAGACAGTGGACAGTTGACAGAACTGTATCCATGCTGATTAAAATAGCGCAAAAGTTTCAACGTTTAATATTTACAAGCAAGCCTCTAGCTTCTGCAGCCGCTACACTATCGTTCTGGTTTTCAATTAATAGGAGAGTTTGTATTATTGCCTCTATGCGTAATTTAATTTTGTGAACTAATCGGTACCAATAGGACCAACGAGTATCAACTAGACGTTCAAGCTCGAGAATTTGAAGGTTTTGTTTTTTTTTGCATCTGCATGAACAATTCATGACGAACATTGCTTTGAGATAAAAATACGTACAGCTGTTGGACTGTTGAAAAAAATGCGTTAACCTCACTCATGCTTCTAACAGTCTGTACTAAAACCAAATTCAGGCGATGTGCGTGACAGTGAACATAAATTGCTTGTGGGGCTTTTTCCTTAATTCGGGCTTGGACACCGGAGTGTGCACCACTCATCACTGAAGCTCCATTGAGCAACAAGGTGGTTCCAATTCAACTTAAACTCATCAGTAATATCAATGATAGACGATGTTAGATGAAGAGCATCTACCTGATGCATGTAATACGCTCCAAGTGGTTTTTCATTGATGACGCCATTATCAACATATCTTATGACGTAACTGAGCTGTTCCTTCCCGGATACGTCTTTGGTTTCATCAACAAGTATTGACCAATACCTGACTTTTTTTACTATATTGATTCGCAACTGTTGCGCTAAACAATGGATTATATCATTTTGGTATTCAGGGCAAGTGTAATGACCGTAACGACGTTGAAGCTTGTTTTTAAGTTCTGGAGCAAAAACTGTGAATGTGTCAATTCCATAAGGTTTCCCTTGTTTGCAGATGATTCTGCTTCATTATGTCCTCTTAGAGGTAGACCTTGTCGAGTTAAATATAAAATGGCTTAAGACAAATAGTAAATGTGCTTACGATTTTCTTCAATTTTTTCTTGTCTACTTGAATTAATAGTTGTTGCAATTGACAAGTTGGGATTCTGCTTTATCAACTGTTTGTTTGTCCAAGCTATTATTGCATTATGATGTTTTTGGCATCCATGATGTTTTTTCAGCAATTGTCCAATATCTTTCCATTTTCGAATTCCATAATCAACAAAAGCAACATCACCAATATTTTACCCTTTCATGGTAATATACGAAGCAAAGTGACGACAAGCATAACAGTAAACTGAGTCATGCATTACCGAATATTCAATCCATGTGTACTTGTTATATCAGTTTGAAGAAAAACGCCTCCCATTGCTGTATGGAAAGTCAATTGATGGTTGGATGGGATCAACATTTGGGGAAGATGAAATATCACAAACTAGTTTTTCATCTGATGATGCAAAACTCTGAAAAGAAAATCATTAAACACTATTACAAAGCCAATGAAATGAGATTAACAATTTTATCATATGTCTACCAGGAATACTCATACCTCCTGTGATTTCATGGTGCCTATTGCAACTTCTGTTTGTTCAGCTACCTCTACCAACATCACTTCTGACTGTGAGCTATCTCTCTTACAATCTACAAATATCAAAACTATTTATAACTTTCTACAAAAATAATGTACAATTGCTAATTAAATTTAAATACAGTCTGTGGTGTTTTTTGAATTTGATGTGGTTGCCTCAGTCAAGACAAAGAAATCCATCCTTGCTTGTTTAATTTTTTTCTTTGGTAATTCATTTCCAGCTGACATCTTTCTACAATATAATCTAAACTTTTTCTAAAATTTATTACAATATCCAGAAAAAATAGTTATTGTTATTTGACTTACCAACTTGATGATTTAAAATGTTTTTTATATCATTGATAATTAATTTAATTTAATCATTTATTATTGATTAGTAGTTTGATCAAATTTATTAACGAAACTGAAACAATTTGTATTCAAACTCACCTTCACTCTTTATCTTAAAAAATGATATAAATTGACTTTCAGCTAAATCAAAATAACATTAATAACAGCGAACGCGACAGTTAATATGGCTACAACACAATGGTTTTTTTTAAACAGAACATGAATTATTGTAGGAACAAATGAAATAAATTGTATAGCGCTTGACATTTAAAAATTTAAAAAGCACAATATTTTGTATATATAATTATAATAAATTATATAATTTTATATAATTATTTTATAGTGTTTGCAATTTTGTCATAATAATTTCGTACAGCAAAAATTTAGAATTTTGATTTCTTGGGGGGGGGGGCACCCCAAGAAATCAAATGACGCCTCTGGATTTAAACCATTTCATTTATGTGATCTATCGACCACCTAATTCTAATTTATTATTATTTCTTGACGATCTGAATAATTTATTTTCAAAGTTGAAGTTTTTAAATAAAAATCATATCTATATATTAGGCGATTTTAATATTGATCTTTCTAAAACAAATTCTTGTTTGGATTTTAAAAACTTAATGTTTTCTTATAACTTTATTCCGTCAATATGTTTGCCTACCCGTGTTACTGCATCTTCATCTTCCTTAATTGATAATATTTTTATAAATAATCATATTATGCACAAATCTGCCGTTTTATGCTCCGATATTTTTGACCATTATCCTATTCTTACATCCTTTCAACTTAATTTTTCTAAAACTCTCTCCTCACCCGTTTTATCACGTAACTACAAACCTCATAATTTAACCAAATTAAATTTTTTTTACTTAATTTTGATTGGAGCTCTTTCCTAAATCTCACTGATACTAATATTGCTTTTGAATACTTCATTTCTATATTTAATAATGCTATTGCTCTGCACTGTCTCTTTACTAAATCACGTTATACTTTTAAGCAACCATGGATTACTCCTGGTTTACTAAAATCTTCTAAAACTAAAAATAAACTCTACAAAAAATATATAAAAACTCGCTCTCCTTCTGATCATTTAAAATACATTAAATGTAAAAAGCTATTTTCTCATCTTTGTAAAACTACAGAAATGTTTTATTTTCACAATCAATTTAATAAGCATAAAAAAAAACGGCAAACAAACATGGAATTTGTTGAAATCGTGCCTGGGACTAACCCGATCAAACTTAAATTGTTCTTTAAAGGTTGATGAGGTTGTTATTAATGATGAATTATCAGTGTGTAATCTTTTCAATAATCATTTTTCGTCTTTGTGTAATTTAAATTCTTCATGTTTTCTTCATGCATTTTACAATTATAATAAATATTTCCAATTCATTTGTCATGTTTGATTGTACTATTTTTGATATAATGGATGTTATAAATAACCTAAATAATTCTACCAGTTCTGGTCATTATCAAATTTCTAACTTTTTCTCAAAAATGGTTCACTGTCATGGTTAGATCATATTAATCAAATATCCAATAAAATACAAAAAATCTAGGTATAATCTATCGTCTTAAATTAAGATTTCCAAATTTTATTTTGTATTCTCTTTATAACGCATTAATTCTTCCATATTTTATTTATTGTATTTCAATCTGGGGTAATAGTCCAAAATCTCATCTACACGTATTGAAATTAAATCAAAATTTTTTCGTTAGAATTTTGGTCTCCAGGTCAAACCTTCATTGTTTTGATGAATAAACGAATTGTGAATTGTAAATTGTGTTCATCTATCGGAAATCTTGAACCTACGGAATAACGAATTCTTGACTATCGTTGGAAGCTACAAGCTAGTGTTGGAAATATAGAGATCTTTGAAGTAATAACATCGGTGTTGGTAGTTACGAGGTCAAGGATTTACAACAATATGTTCTGTCGATTATTCTAAAGCTTTTGATAGCGTGAAACACGTAGAGCTTAAGGGAATATTAAAAAATTTGAACATTGATGGACTTCTATTAGCACCAAAGAACAGCGCTGAAAGTTGTTAACAAAATGACTAGTTTTATCAAAATAAAAAAAGCTGTTAGGCAGAACTGTGTATTCTCTCCAGTTCTTGTACAATATCTACTGTGAGATCATCATAAGAAAGATGGACGATCTACTTGAAATATCCATTGGAGGCGTGAATACAAACAATGTAAGATATGCTGGTGATAAAACTCTTATAGCGAAACCATTAGAAAAACTGCAAACAATTGTTTTCAAACTGGTTTTTGAAAGTGAATGGCAAATTACTATTAACAAAAAAGTGCACGGTTATCAGTAAAATCAAAACCACCTCGATCTGCTCCATAATCATTAATGGTAAACAAGTGAAACAAGTCAACAGCTTCAATTATCTCGGAAGTCTGATTACCTCAGGTTGTAAATGTGATATGGATATCAAACAAAAGATAGCTATTACGAAAAATGCATATTCTAAAATGAAAAACATCTTAACCAACAATAAAATCAGAATATCAACAAAATTAAAACTGTTATAGTGATGCATTTTTCCTTTGCTCAATCAATACAATGTCTTGAAAGGATAAGGCACGAGAAAGAAGAAGAAGATAAATTAATAATTTGTTAATGTTTTTTTAATATGAATCAATTTATTTGCGTAAAGTTGATTTTCAAATGATTTTTTTAATAAAATAAAATTGAGATTGAAGTTTAGACACTCAAATGTGTTTTATTTTTCAAATGAAAAAATATTGAAGAGAGGCGGCAAATTCGCAAGTTGCCTAAGCAGGAAAGAGTTCTAGAAACAATAAATAAACATAAAAATTTAAACACTAGACCAAATGCAATCGTAAATGGAAAACTGAACAAAAGTTTGATTGGTTTGAAATTAAAGCAATAAAAATATAGATCATGTTTAAAGTTTATCTGAACTCAAATCTGTTCGAGCTGTTTGGTTGAAAAACGGATTTACAAAAGTAAAATTAGCAAAATCGTAATCATTGATAGCATTTATAACATTGGAATCGCAAGGTGTTAATCTAAAAGGAATTCTCGTTTCAAAATTTTCAGCTCTTTTTGGGTCAATCTGAATAACATAATGATACATTTTTGTAAAAAAATAGTTCAACATATTTTGTAGAAATAAAAACATGTTTAAAATAAAAATAAATTATGTTATGGCTATCCAAAAAATAAACCAAACAATACTAAACCTAAAATTAAATTTGAGAATTATTTGTAAAGCTCATTTTGTGTAATTAAACACTAATGCAATTATAGCTCAGAAAACATACAAAAAGTCAGCAATTGTTTTTGACCATAAATTCAAATTACCCAGAAAAATTTATGTTAATATATTCTGATATTTAATTTTGAAAAAATACATCTTTATTTAATTTGATAATTATACTAAATTTAATCTTATGATTTGCATCTTGAAATCGTTTAACACCAAATAAATTGGGCTGCTGATGAATCACAATAAAAATGAAACTCATCTGAATCTACCTATTAATTCTAGTGTAGTTCAAAACTGTCTTTAGACCATCTACCTTTATCATCAATGCTTCTACTCTCAAAATACTTAATAACTCCGATCAAATCATCAAATCCGCTGACGACGTCTACCTTACATCATTTAACACTAACATCATCCAATCAGAACTCGACTCTTTAACTACATGGTCAAAGCAATACAATCTGTCACTAAGCCTCAATAAATCGTTGTGACTCATCATTCACAATAGTCGTAAAAAGTAGTAATACCTCCTAACTAATCACTCGCACGAATCAATTAAATTATTAGACATCACATTTACTTCTACACTTAATATAGCACCTCATGCTAACCACGTCATCACAAAAGGCTTTCAAAAATTTCACGCACTCAAAACATTTCGCTTACATGGTCTCAAAGACATCAAATTGTTCGACATCACTATCACTCATCACCTCGCACATCAAATACTCAGCTCCCTCCTGGTCTCGTTTCACTACACAACAACAACTTCAGCAACAGCAATCACTCATCAAAAAGCTAAATCGCCTCAACCATATACCTGCATCACTAAAATATTCAACACACTCGATTCAAGACTGTTCAAGAAAGTAGAAAATAACAACAACCACGTCATCTATCCTCTACTGCCACCAATCAAAACTTCTAAACACAACCTTTACAAGCAAAACTATCAAGTCTTCACTCAATCAAGATAACAGGATAAGACCTTCATCACAAGACATCTTAAATTTGTCTAATCTTTTTTCTTATCGATTATTAAATTCACTAACTGTTACTAGTCTGTTAATTAATCAATTATTTTAATTATTTGTTTTTTAAACCATTACTATTTTTTATTTTCCATACTGGTTAAACATTTTTTCTTCGTTATTTATTTTTCGCTATCATTTTATGCTATTGCTTTGCATGCTGTAAAAGTTTCTGCCTTTGTCGGATTCTGATTTTCTAAAGAATAATAAAAAAACTCGTCTGCCTAGCCTGCTACGAGTTTAGCGGTTTTTATTATGAAATTTGTTTCATTCGCCATAGATTTCAGCTTGATAATATATTTTAAACTTCGCTCAGTAAGAAGAATTTTCTGAAACTTTTTAATATAAATTTAATTTGCAACAATAACATGAATTATTTCATAAATCAATCAATATTTCTCATTGACTGTTGAGGTAGGGCGTTTTCTTTTTTAACTATTTTCAAAATCCTTCTATAACTTTTTTGAAAAATTATTATTTCTTTAGTATTTAACGGAGGTAAGATTAACAAACAACGCGCAATATAAATAAATTTACACAAATCAACACATCACAAAAATTGAATTGAATGCAAAAGGCATCTAATGCATTCAACCTAATCACTATAACACAGCAACATTTTGTTTATTTTACAAAATTAGACTCTGGCAGAACAGAATCTGTTAGAACGTGCAAAATGACAATATATTAATAGTATAATGAAGAAAATAAACAGAATAAGGTGAAGCAATGAAAATCAGTTACATATACAAAATAAAATAAAAAATTTTCTTTAAAATGTAAAAGTAACAAAGTGGGTAAACTAATAAATGAACGAATGGATGAATGAATGAATAAATGAATTAATTAATTAAGCCAGTTTAAGAGAACAAGATATGGAGATATGCAAAAACATAAGGGTATGAGCAACTGGAAGAGCAGCAGAGTTAAAAGTAGGGATGCACCGGATTCGCCGGGGCCGGACTTGGCCGGATTTTAAATTAAAAAACCGGCCGGGGCCGGTTTTTAGTTACCATTTTACATACGTTAGAAAAAATGCTCACATTTACGGTTATCTACATGTTGAACGTCAAAAAATAACCCATATTAAAGCACAAAGAATTTGTCCAGCTCAACGCACAATTAGTGATGTTGTAATTATGTGTCATGTATAACCTAGCCTAATCTCTAACATACCATGTTCTTTAACTATGCGCTTATGTATCTCTCTCTCTATATATATATATATATATATTATGTAGCTATATGACCCGTCATATACAATTATATAGTATATACACGTGCACAAGTTCTTTTACACAAAGATCATTAGAAATTTTTTTTCTATTTATAACATTTTTAAATGTTGTTAGACGCTTAAATCCGGCCGGGGCCGTATTAAAAAAAAGCCGGATTTTGGCCGGGGCCGAACTTCGGTGCATCCCTAGTTAAAAGCTTTAGTTAAAGGTAGAATCAGGAAGACCATAGTAGAGAGAGTTACAATAACTAATTCTAAATAAAATTAATAAAATTACAAATAAGAAAAAAATTGGATCGTCAAGAATAAGCAAAAGCTAAGTTCTAAGTAGATGAAGGTAAAAACTTTTAGCAGCACTATTAAACCGAGATATAAGAGACATGCTAGAACCAAAGATAAAGCCTAAATTACAAAACTCATGAGAAAAATCAAGAGTTTTAAAATCAGGTAAGATAATAGAATGAATAGTAATAGTGTGTTTTAATTTATTAAAACATAATAATCAAACATAGAAGGATTTAGTTTAAGATACATAGAGTCACACCAAGCAATAATAGAGATAAATTATGAAGAACACAATAGAAATTAGATAGAAAAGAATCCGAAACATTAAAAGAATGATCCAATGGTTTCAAGAGAATAGTATAATCAACAGTATCAAAAGCAAAAGAAAAGTCAAGAAAAAGATGACTAAGATTACTATTGTCAGTAGAGAGAAGGATCTCATTATGAATTTTTAGTAAAGATGGTTCAGCACTGTGAGAAGGTCTGTGATCAGATTGAGATGCAGGTAGCAAGGAGTTAGAGTTTAAATAAAAGGATAATTAAACTTTTTTTTTTAGAGATGAAAAAAATATTAGTAACAAATTTATAATTAGATAAAGAGGAAAGATCTAAAAAATGTTTGTATCATCAGAAAATAAAAGTGAGATAACGTTAGAAACCGTTATAATGTTAATGAAGAAAGAGTAAACAAAATCTATAAACTTGCAGGAGAAACAATTTTATATGATTAACACTAGACACCCCAGTGATATTAATTTTCTTGTCAAATTTTGGTAGTTACTGAAGGATATTACTTTTTAAAAACGTATGTGTGTGTGTGTGTGTGTGTGTGTGGTTGTGTGTGTGTGTGGTGCGTGGAAAAAAAAGAGAAAAAAATTTAACGTTTGAGGATCTCACTAAAATGTAGAAATAGACAGACTTGCTACTGAAAATGCGCAAAAATTTCAAAATAATTTCTAATTGAATGTTTCAATATTGTTACAAAAATTAATTTAATTATTGCAATTAATCTTACTATTAATGGTTTAATGGGCGGTTGAACTTCTTTGTTCTCTAATTTAACCCAATTTACCATTCGAAAAAAAAAATGCTCTTTGATTACAATTTCCTGAACTTCAGTCCCACAACCAAGTCTTGTCGCAGGGTTCTTTACTAATAGCTGCATAAATACATAACAGTTAATATTACAAATTTAAACTTTATTTTCAAAATTAATTTTTTAACGGCTTTAACTTCTAAATTTTGAACTGTTAATGAATCCTTATCAACTGGCTAGTTTTGAAAAACGTTAGCTTTGACGAAACATAAAAAGAATGATCCAATGAATCCGAATCATTTGTATCATCAGCAAATCAGCAAATAAAAAAGTGAGATAACGTTAGAAACCGTTATAATATTGTTAAAAAAAGAGTAAACAAAATCAGCAAGTCTACTTTGAAAATCACCCATGTACAGTACAACTACTAAATTTTTTATAGGGCAGGCATAGATTTTATAAAAAAAATTAATGTTTTTTGGCTTATTTTACATTTTTAGCAATTTTCCTATTACAACCAGTGTTTTTGGTTTTTTGCACAAAAATTGACCAATTGTTATTATTATCAAAGAGCTGAAACGGTTTCCAGTCAAAATTTATATATAGATTTTTTTTCAATTTAACTTTTAAACCCCAAATAAATTTTCCAGTCCTAAAACTCCATAACTTGGCTATGTTACTATTTATTTGAAAATCGACGGATTTACATTTTCTTTTAAATTTTTTATAATAAATGTTTGATTACCAAAATGTTAAATAAATCTGTTATAATGTTTTATAAAATATTATGCCTAAGTTTTTTCCACATGTATGTGTCATTTGTAAAAAAAAAATAAAATAAAGGATTTTGTGAATCTTTTGTCATCGGCTGGCAATAAATAAAGAATCAATTTTTGGTTGGCAACTTTATATTTATAACATCGTTGGCAATTTAATTTTTATAACAGCATTTTTTAAAGCGTTCTGTAAAAGGCTTTGATAAATGAATATTATTGTTATTATTAACCACTTCCGGTTTGCTCTAAAAATCTGCAGTTTTTTATTCTAAACACTCGTTATTTATTTAAACGATAAGAAAATCGTCAGAAGATAATTATTAAACTAATTTTCAATATATTACATTTTTTGTTGTTTTAAATTAATTATATAAGTAATAATTATATTTTATTTTGCAAATTAAATTTGATTTTATAATTTTTTCAAACGTTAATAACGATTCAACGCTATGCATAAGACATCGGATAAATGAAATTATCGTTAATTAATATTATTAATATTATTTTGGAAATCACTTATTACAGGGGTGGAATGCGATCCGCGAAACTATTTTATGCGGCCTGCGGGGCTTTGTTCGCCAAAAAAAAGGAGGTCGTCAGCCAGACATTACAGCCAAAAAAAAGCCACAAATCTTAAAAACGTTCTCCCCGGGTGGAAAAAATTAGCTATTTAAGTAGATATGCGGCCCTTCAAAGGTAAAATAGTTCTCAATGCGGCCCTCACAACAAAATGTTTGCCCCCCTTGACTTACTCCTTTCATAATGTTTATCGCTTCTTTGGACAGACTTTTTGGAAAACTGATGTTTTGTTCGACAATGTTGTAAGATAATTGCAATTCGTCGTAAGAGGAACCAAAAGGTGTCTGCGTTTTAGGGATAGGTTGTTTGTTACAGGTTGTTTGTTAATAATTTAATTTTTTCACAAAAATTAATCTTACTTCGCCTACAAGCATTTCATAAATGAAAACTCCAAATGCCCACCAATCTACAGACTTTCCATAAGGTTTACGCAAAATAATCTGTTCAATACAAAATTCTGAATAAGTCTTTTATTTATTATTATTATTAATATAAACCTCTGGTGCTAAAAAATCCGGTGTACCACAATACGTGGTTGTATTAACATTTGAAGTAATGTTTTCCTTACACATTCCAAAGTCTGTCAACTTTACATGGCCATCGCTATCGATCATTACATTGTCAAGTTTCAAGTCTCTAAAAGCAATTTTTATAATCTGATGTCCCAATTCAAAAATTTTCCAAATTTTATACAACGACGTAACCTGTAGATAATTCCATTTTCGTGCAAAAAAAATAAAGCTATCGCCACTTCGGCTGCATAAAAACTAAATTATTTTATTAGTTACAATAACAATTTTTACAAAAAATTTGTTTAATACAAACACAGCTATAGGCTCTTTAAAACTTTTTTCTTTCTGAATTCTGAAAGTCAAATCTCCTCCATTAACATATTCCATTACGTAAAATAATCGATCCTAAAATTCAAATTTGATTTTAAGAATTTTTATTGGTTTTTAAAGTGTTTCAAGTTATTATGTTATAAAAAATGTGGTTTAATAAAAACTAATTGCTCAGATTATATTACGAACATAAAAATGAACATTTATCAGACTTTTGTTTGAAAACAAGAGTGTAAATTGACTAAAAACGGCGGTTTGTTTTTAAGACTGAGGATACGTTTTTCAACAAAAACAGGTTCAATAGCATCTTGAACAACAGATTCTTTAGTCAAACATTTTATAGCATACAACTCTTTAGTTTGTTTTTCTTCTGCTAACATAACCTAAAATTACAAATTTTAACTTATTCCTTCTATTGTAATCAAAAAACTGTTGTTTATAAAACAAAATAACTTTGCCGAACGATCCTCTTCCCAAAACGCATAAAAAGTTGAAATCGTTCATACTATAAGATTTTCCAGAAGACTGTACGACTTCATAAACTGATTTATTGGTTTTTCTTAATTCTTTATTTAACCTTTTCTGATGTATTTTTATGCAAAATATTTAAAAATATGATGTAACAGTTTTATTAGACGAGATGACTAACCTCTACTTTTGCGTAATCTAGTTTATCAGTGCAAGGTATATTATAATATTCTCCTTCTTCTTGGCCTAAAAGTTTAAACCATCCGTCTACCTTTTCTTTGTTAATTTCTGATAAGCCAAATGACAATGACCCCATAAAATCATTTCTTGATACTCTATCCCAGTCCCAAACTTCAATGATTAATCGTCTTGAGTGATCTTCGTTTTTAACTTTTCTGTATGTCAATGCAAAAAAGTTGAAACTACCAAGGTTCAAAAATTGAAAAAAATAAACGAACATTTGAAATTTTTCTTTCCAAACTGGGTTGAGGCTGGCTTTGATGGTTTTTGTTTTAAATATTTTGTTTTTATATTTTTCAATGTCAGGCTTGAATTTTACGATGGCAAATGGATCGGCTAAACCACTTGCATCCATTGGTATAAGATTTTTGGCTCCTCTAACTAGTTTAAAAAAACATTTTTTCGTTTAATTTAATTTTTAGTTTATTGCATTATTAATAACTAACTTTCAATTGTTAACTTTCCAAAAAAAATATCCAAACTGAGATTTATTCGACCTCTTCTCTCCGTATGGTCAAGACCACAGAGTTGAGGAATATTTTTTTCGCATCTTTTATGAACAT